GCCACCCAGGCGCCCCTGTCCACCCCCTTCTTTAGCAAACATTTGCTGATTCTTCAAGAGTCCATTAGAATATCACTTTCCCTGTGGAACCTTCTCTGTTTCTATATCATCTTCCCCAATAGCATGCTCTGCAACACTATCTTGTAATGTAATTATTTTCACTTCCCGGTAGACTGGGAGCTCTTTGGGAAGCATCCGTGTGCAGTATCCAGAGCAGAGCAGTGCATGTGACAGTTAACCCGTTTTGTGGCATGAATGGATCTGCCAGATTACAAAAGCACCCATTGTAATTGAGTCAGTTTCTGTGTCTCAGTAAGACTTCGTGTTTCTTATCGGAAACGGTTTTGTGGATTATAACCAGACAAATTTCTGTCCTTCTCAAAATGTTTCTTGGATGCCATAAAGCTATTCCTATTTTATGTTCAGTGCTGTTGTTGTACATAACAGTGGCTTGTGTTTCAGTGAGACTTTTTTTTTTAGCGTAAACACGTGTCAATGTGTCCTTTCTAGGCAGAAGAGGAATTTCAGAAAGCACAGAAAGTATTTGAAGAGTTTAACGTTGACTTACAAGAGGAGTTACCATCGTTATGGTCAAGGTAAAGTTTCTGTGCAGGGTGTACGTGTCCCATTTAGAAGATTGAGAAGAGGCGATATCCCTTCTCTTATCTTTATTGTTTGTGATTCTTCAGGGCCATCGAACCTGGCAAAACGTTCTATGTATCTATATATGTGTGCTTTTCAGAATGGTAGCTGTCTGCCACACGTGGCTGGCTGTTGAACTCTTGGAATATGGCTCGTATGGTGTGAGGAAGTGAATTTTTAATTTATTTTGCTTTGACTCATTTAAATTTAAATAGCCACATGAAGCTACCAGCTGCTATATTGATGACACAGTTTTTAGACCTTGATATATTTCTCAAGTGGAGTCTTCCATCTCAGAAAGAGGCAACAGGAGAATTGCCCTTAACTTTGAAATTTACAAGGATACCCCATTAGCTCTTGGCAGAACTCCCTTGATCCCCAGAGGTCATCTGGTCTTCAGGCTTGGATGCCAAACCCTGTGCTTTCAGCTCTGACCTTTTTAACCTGAACTGCATTCCCATTTTAAGCACTAAATATTTTTCTTTTATGGTTACTCTGCATTTCTCATGGCATTAAGTGCATTTTCCATCCCTTGTCTTATTTTCCCCCCTCAATGGTAGAACCAAGAAGCTGTTGGATGCAGTGGGGACTTCCGCCTCTCAATTTCCATCGGCACCTCATGTGACCATGCCATATAAACACATTTGCACTTGCTATGCAACATTGCTTTAAGACAAATCCTCTGGCCCGGTTTCCAACCAGACTGGCATCCTCGAAACCTTCCTATCTAAAAATTCTGGAAGTCCTACTTATCCTTCAAAACTGTAAGCGTTTTGAGGGTCTAGAGTGGAGTTTGTCCGTGTTTGTGTCCACTCCGTGTTTATTTTTGAAATAACTAGAGGAAATTTCGGCCAGTTCACTCTAGAATCAGCCTGTAAGGCATCCCACTTCAATGTCCAGCCATAACCCAAGGTTCAACATGTGTGAAATTAACTCCTCGCTCATCTGAATTTACTCATTCTTTCCACACCTGCATTTCTCTTTTTGGTACTGTCATTCTTGGGCTCCCCGCCTCAAAGCTTTGGCATCATTAACTATGGGAAGCCAGAGGACCATCAAAGGAATCAATTTATCCTTTCTCTGTGGTCTTCCGGATTGGTCTCTGCCTCCGTATTCTCATTGCCACCACCCATCCCCTCATCACCCTCCTGTTGAGGCAAATATCTATTCATAACTTTCATGGAGTCATTCGTGCCTATTTAAAACCACAAATTATAGGGGCACCTGGGTGGCTCAGCCAGTTGAGTGTCTGACTCTTGATTTTGGGTCAGGTCATGATCCCAGAGTTGTGGGACTGAACCCCATGCTCAGTGCAGAGCCTGGTTGAGAGTCTTTCTCTCTCCCTTTGCCCCTCTGCCTCTCTCCCCTGCTTGTGCTTTTTCTCTCTCTCTCTCTCAAATAAATTTTAAAAAGAAGATAAAGTCACAAATCATATGAAATTATGGGTTTTTTAAGAAGTATATTTTTTCATTCTTATATTTCAAAAAATACTTGTATCCAAAATCTTTATGCACATCGTTGGCACCCATGTCTTTGTCCTCATCAAGGCTGACTCATGAAATGTCAGCCAGGAGTTCTCCCCAGCTTATCATCTTCCTCAACATCCCCAACACCAGTTGTGATTTGCATACAATTTAAACAGTTCTCCTGTTCATTTCCCCTCTAAAGGAATTTTTGTGATCTCAAATGTCATTACTTACCCAATTGCTTTTTAAACTGATCTTTATGAGAACTTAGGTACCACAACGCTCAACACTTCCAATTATGAGATAATACTCCCAGGAAAATTGCCAAAATTCCCCAAAGGTGGGTATTATTTGCCTTAATACGTATTGGGTATGGAACAAAAATATTTCTTCTTAATGTTCTCGATAAGCATCCTAAACTAGCATTGACTGATGAGGTTTCAGGCTTATGTGTCTTCCCCAGATAGTATTTGGTCATTCAAAATAAGTAATTGTCAGAGTATCTTGTAATATGAAAGACTTTAGAGGAACTTAAACACAATGGGAATATTTGAAGGACAAGTTTTGGAGAGAAGCCATTCCCCTTATCTGCCATATACAATATAAATACTTCAGTGCTCTTTGTTTTTAAATGTTTGTTCATTTTTGAGAGAGTGTGAGTGGGGGAGGGGCAGAGAAAGGGGGACTGAGGATCTGAAGCGGGCTCTGTGCTGACAGCAGCGAGCCCGATGTGGGGCTCGAACTCACGAACCGTGAGATCATGACCTGAGCTAAAGTTGGAAGCTCAACCGAGCCACCCCAGTGCCCTGCTTCAGTGCTTTTTAATCCACTGTGACTTATTTCCGCACTCAAGGGTTTTTCCTTTTTACGTCAGTCAGGTCCTGCCCTTTGATCCAATCCTAGCTTGGGCCTTTGTATATACTCTTTATATATACCATGGTTTTTGACTAGACCTACATTATTCAACCGCAGTAATTGTGTGTACTGTGTTTATACGAGAGGAGAAGAGAGCGCTCATTATTGTTGAATACTTTGTATTTTCCAAGTATCAGTTTATTCACTTTACACACATAACCTCAATCGTCACAATTGCATATATCCCCACCTCACAAACGAGGAAGCTCGGGATCATACTGGTTAAACACTTTGCCGAAGATCGTCGCGTTTATACATCCTGAAGCTGGCACTTAAAAACACCTCTGTGGTGTTGCCTGTAAATCCTGATTGTCTGCATTTAGGACTTCTCCTTATGTAAAATGAGACCGTACGCAGCCTTTCATAAATAAAGCTTAGTTCATAACATTGTCTTATTATACATATGTTTTCTTCCCAGCCATATTACTCCACCTTGAAATTGCAGTTATTTGTGTCTTCCGGCCTCCCTGCTGTGGTGGGTTGAGGAATGAGAGCTCCGCTATTTAAGGAAAGTGCAGAAGTCCCTGAGAAGGAATGATCACAGATGTAGGAGGAGGCCCGGGAGAGTAGTATCTTAAAAAGCCCAAGAATGGCGAGAGTTTTAAAAGTGAAGGCGTGCCAGGAGAATCATTCACAAAACGGAGGTCAAGCAGCGGAGACTAAGGGTGTATTGTCTTGGTGAGCCTCCAGACAGGCTCCAGCTGATGGCGGGGTCAGAAACCTGACTGCAGCCGTTGGAGACGCCATGGTTGATGATGTAGAAGGATATCATCTCTTATTTGAGGATCTTGACTATGCTGGGCCTGAGGAATAGTGGTAGCAGATACAGGGGGAGGAGTGGGCAGGGGAAGCCTTCTAAAATTAACCGGTATCATTTTGAGGGGCTCGGTCAGTTAAGTGTCCGGTTTTGGCTCAAGTCATGATCTTGCGGTTCATGGGTTTGAGCCCCGCATCGGGTTCCGTGCTGGAGCCCGGAGCCTGCTTCCGATTCCCCCACCCTCTGTCTCTCTCTCAAAAATAAATAAGCGTTAAAAAATTAATTTGAAATAACTGGTATCATTTTGAGAAGCCGACAGTGGCAGCGGCACAGGTTGGGATGATTTAGGACTGGGGATTTCTGGAGCCAGTAGGGGACAGGGGGATAAAGACGAGGTGTTGGCACCGCGACCAGCCAGTGGTGAGAGGTATGCCACAGGGCCCGAGCTTGAGAAAGCAAGATGCCCAGCCTGAGGGGGACGACAACCTGGAAGGAAAGGGGCACTGATCTCAGAGAGATTAAGAAAAAAAAAATCAACAAGTGGAACAGAAGTGAATGAATGAAGGATCTTGTGGTCTAGGAAATTAGGTTAGGGAGCAGGCCTCTTGATTGTCTCCTATCAGTTGTGAGCCATGGATGGCAAGACCCAGGATCCGCAGCAGAATTTATTTGAATAAGCATGTGAGTTACGAGTTTGTTTCTTGGTTTAAGAGTCGGATGTCGAGGTCTGCTGTGTTCGTGTTAGGATTCGGTGAAGGAGAGCGAAGGGAATCAGGAGATGTGCGCTGTGGACAGTCAGTGGGGTGGCGGCCTGGGGGTTGGTAGATGAGCCGTACAGGGCCGAATATGTGCGGCATGAATCTCAGAGGAGGGAGTGTCAGGGGCCCAGAGGAGCAGGGGCCAGCTAGGAGAAAGTTCTTCGCTCTCCCACTCCACCCCCCTGGTAAGTGACGGATGGCACAGGATGCTTCTTCCATTGCGGGGGGGTTGTGGTGAGGGGGTCGCAGTGACCCCCCCGCCCAGCCCCACCCCTGCAGATTTCCCTGAGGGAAGTGCTGAGGGGAGTGTCCTGGCCTGCACTGCTGTGACAGCTCAGCTGACAATCCTTCCCATTGTTTCCAAGAAGAAAAAACCATCTTAATAAAGAAATGAAGTGGGGCTTGAGAGCTAACCTGAAGGGGCCTGAGGATGCCTCAGAGGAGTCCTTCGGGGACATGGTAATGTCTTAGTCCCTTGTTTATGAAGAGCGTGTGGAATACCTTGCAAACACGTAAAAGCAGTACTCTGTGGATGTCTGGTTCCCTGCTGGTGACATCAGGTTTTTACAAGCCAAGGGCAACAGTCAGCATATGCCCTTCCAGTGGAATGAGTGCCACGTTTGTTGGCTCATTCGTTCATTCATTGAATATTTACTTGCACACCTGCTCTGCCCTGGTGCCGTATCAGGCGCTAGGCCTGTAGTAGTGACCTGCTTACAGGCAGGCCCTACTTCGAAAGAGTCTCCAATTTCATAACTTGAAGAAAACCCTCATATGACGAATTACATCAAAAATGTCCAACACATTTTTTTCTAAGTTAAACACATCCTAGTTGACTTAACTTCGAAATTCTAAAATGAGCCACAAAAATATTAGAAAATCATTTGATAACTGTTTAGTCGTGTTAAACAAGGTCTTTATTTCTTTCTGGCACCACACCACTTATTTCTCTAAATAATAATTGATATAAACAAGATACGCTATATATCAGAAAGCAAAACTAACAGGTAGAAGAACGGGAATTCTTGTTTTTTTGCTTAATGTCTCCAAGAATCACTATGTTTAATAGCAGTTAACCTTCTAAATAAAAGGGGGGGGGAGCACTAAGAAATGAACATAAAAAATGAATAGGTTACTCGCAAAAGAAGAAATATAAACGGCTATTAAGTAAATGAAGAAAAAAGTATTAACCTTAATTGAAGGAATATAACTATAAAAGGCAGCCGGGTGCAAACTCTCGCCCATCATATTCCCGAAGGTTTTGTGCAACTTCGCACTGAACGTCAAGGAAGTAGAAGGACCCCGCCCCCATGGGGGCAGCTTGGAAGTGCACACCAGAGCCTCTGTGGTCTGTGCCTCTCACACAGCATTTGCACTCAAGGCACTTATTCTAAGGAAATAGTCGAGCCATGCACCGAGTTTTCATTCGTAGGTCATCGTTAGGGTTTTGTTCGTCATAGTGAAAAATCAATGAAAACAAAGCAGTCCCCGCCAATGAACTTCAGCTACACCCCCTCCCCCATCCATCTGCACCTGCCGTCTATTTAAATCTGACCCTCCTTCGGGCCAGCCCAAGTTGATCCTCTCAAGCAGACGTTTGCAGCTGGCACAGGGCCTGTCAATTCCCCCATCTTCTCAGTTCCTGTAGCTGTTTCTGTCTGAACCTACTCATTTTTGGTATTCAATTGTGTATGGCCTCTCGTGGTAACTTTAACATTGGCATTCTGCGTCTTTCACTCACCAGCGTGGGTGAAGTGTGTGTTCATGAATCCTCCCCTCGGGGACTCCTGTAAGTGGACTGTGTGTTCCTGGAGCCCCCGGAGCCCACCCCTAGGCATGAACCCAGAGTGGATAGGCCCTTCGTTGAGCAATTGAATGACGGGAGGTATGAGGAATGACCGGTTGATGGGGGTCCTGAGTTGGCACTTACAGTGCCGCCGGAAGTCTTCTCTGCCACATACGGTGAGCTGGACCCTCTGCCCAATGTTGTCAGCGCACCTGCAAACTCCCCTCCTGTACAGGTGCTGCTTTGTTAGCTTCCTCAAACACAGGTCCTCTCCATTCCCCTGTCCCACACATGGCTAGGGGCTGCAAATAACCACTGCCTGCAAATAAACGCATACTTCACGGTCGGGAAGATCCCCTGCCCCAGCGCACAGGCCTGCCTCACTGCTCTTATCTCCCAAGCTTCTGATCTGACCCTCCCAAGTAGTTGCTATTTCCCAAACACCCTGTGCCAGGATTTTCTTTATTAATATATGTCTGTTTATCTGTCTGTCACCTATCAATATATACACACAGACACACATATACACACACACGCACAATGGAATATTATTCAGCCATAAGAAAGGAGGGGCATCTGGGTGGCTCAGTCAGATGAACATCCAACTCTTTATTTCAGTGCTCAGGTCATGATCTTATGGTCATGAGATCAAGCCCCATGTCAGGCTCCACGCTGGGCATGGAGCCTGCTTAGGTTTTGCTCGCTCGCTCTCCCCCTCTGCCCCTCCCTTGCTCACTCATGCTCTCTTTCAAAAAAAAAAAAAAGGGGGAGATTCTGCCATTTGGGATAATATGGATGGACCATGAGGGCATTATGCTGAGTGAAACAAACCGGACAAAGACGTATGTTCCACTTAATGTTTAGTATCTACAGTGATTATGTCTCTCAATTCACCTATTTTTATTTTGATATGAAATAATATACACAATATATGTCTGTGTGTATATGTATATTCATATATATGTATATATATATATGCAGGTGTACGTATCCTGTATGTATATATGCATATACGTGTGTGTGTGTATATACATGTCACACCTTCTTTTTATTTATTTATTTATTTATTTTAATTTTTTTTTTAACATTTATTTTTTTTTGAGACAGAGAGAGACAGAGCATGAATGGGGGAGGGCCAGAGAGAGAGGGAGACACAGAATCTGAAACAGGCTCCAGGCTCTGAGCTGTCAGCACAGAGCCCAACGCGGGGCTCGAACTCACGGACCGCGAGATCACGACCTGAGCCGAAGGTGGACACTTAACCGACTGAGCCACCCAGGCACCCCACACCTTCTTTAATCATTCCCCGGTTGATGGACACTTGGATTGTTTTCATCTCTTGGCTCTTATGAATAACGCTGCAGTGAATAGGGCAGTGCCTGTATCTCTTTGAGTTCCTGGTTTCATTTCCTTCAGACGTATCTCCAGAAGTGGGATCACTGGGTCGTATGGTAGTCCTATTTTTACCTCTCTGAGGAGTTTTCCCCAGTGGCTGCACCAATTTCCATTCCCACCGACAGTACACAAGGGGTCCCTTTTCTCCACATCCTTGCTACCACTTGTTATCTGGTCTTTCTGATGACAGCCATGCTGATGTGTGCAAGGTGATTCTACTGCATGCTATCCCTTATATGTGGAATCTGGGTGGGGGAAGGCAAATTCATAGAAATGGAAAGTAGGAAAGTGGATGTCCGGGGCTAGGAGGTAGGGAAATAGGGAGAGGTTGGTAAAAAGGTATACACTTTTAGCTGTGAGTAAGGTCTGAGGATCTGATGTAAAACATGGTAACTATAGCTGATAACACTATATTCTATAATTGAAATGTGCTGAGTGTAGAAGTTAAATGTTCACACACAGAGGATACATTTATGAAGTGAGAGCTGTGTTACTTAACTAGATGGGGGAACCATTCACAATTGTGAATCAGGTCACCACAATGTACACTTGAAATATCTCACCATTTTAATTATCAGCTATACCTCAATAAAGCTGAAAGATGAAACCCAAGTAAACTAGTCTTCTAAAATAAAAAAAAAAAATTAAGTGGAACACGGTAGGAACTTAAGGCACAGGTTAAGATGTAGAAAAAGTAAGTCTTAACTGGAGTTTCACATGGTACTTAACCATTATTTCATCTCTGAATCTCTAAATTGGGTTTTTATCTTTTATCTTGTTAAAATTCTAAACCCTAATTCATTGGAGAGAACAGAAATCATGATACTCGTGCTTAAGCAGAATTTCTTGTCACACAGTCCGTGCTTTTCTATTGGTTTTCCTCCTTTTGGATCCAAACACAGGTTCTCCGGTTATTAATTACGAGACCTTGGACAATTAGTATGTCTGTGCCTCGGGTGACCTGGATGTAAAATGAGGCTCACTACTCTGGAGGTAGTTACAAGAATTAAGTGAGGGAATAAATAAAGGTGTCTATTACATGGCAGCTCTTTCTATTGGCTTTAGTGATAATGGAACATTCGTCCGCTCGGCTTATTGGAATCTTGCTCAGCACAAGACACAGCTAAATAGGAAGGTCCCCTTTTATCTATGCTTTCATGTCATTGTTGAAATAAGAGGGGCCCTCCTGTGTACAGGCACATTCTTACTCCCCAGTAATAAGTTATTATTAAATAACAAAATTATATATTAAACAATAAATTATTCTTATTACAACCTGGGGGGGGGGGGCCCCCCCGAGTATATGTTTATTCCATATATCTGGCCTGTCTAATGTTTCTGGCATCTAAGTTCTTACTTGGGATTTAGAATCTCATGAACCAGTCAGGATTCTGGAGTTATTTTTGAGAACGTCATTGAAACAAGAACATGAATGAAATCAAAGTAGTAATTTATTAGATGGATTCAGAAAGATTGAATTAATACAGTGTCCTCATTTAGAGCAAAGGGAGCCCATTCAGGAGGTACTGGGCTGAACCCTTGGGGTTGACGGGTGTGCTTACTATTAGGGACCTAAAAGTCCCACCCCCTGGCTTTGCTTCACAAACCTGTTTGAGATACTGTGAATGGACACCTTGTGTCTTTATTTGGCCCTCTTACTTTAGCTGAGGAATTGTAGTTAATCGGTAGGTTTTCTATTTCTCCCTGTCCACCACATTTCAGAATCCAAAATGATAGTATGTATATGTCATAAAAATTAATGAAAAGCTTCTCTCTCTCCAGCCCTTTACAAGACACACGTCTAAAATATAAGCAGACTCTTAGGGCAGTGGTTCCAAATGTGTTCCGTCTACAGGAGCAGCAGCCTCAGTGTTACCTTTAGAGCCTGTTGGAGATGCAAATCCTAGGGCGCCTGGGTGGCCCAGTCAGTTAAGCGTTGGACTTTGGCTCAGGTCCCGATCTCACGGTTCATGGGTTTGAGCCCTGTGCTGGGCTCTGTGCTGACAGCTCGGAGCCTGGAGCCTGCTTCAGATTCTGTGTCTCCCTATTTCTCTCTGTCTCCCCTGCTCACGCTCTGCATCTCTCTCTCTCTCAAAAATAAATAAACTTAAAAAAAATTTTTTTTTCCAACGTTTATTTATTTTTGGGACAGAGAGAGACAGAGCATGAACGGGCGAGGGGCAGCGAGAGAGGGAGACACAGAATCGGAAACAGGCTCCAGGCTCTGAGCCATCAGCCCAGAGCCCGACGCGGGGCTCGAACTCACGGACCGCGAGATCGTGACCTGGCTGAAGTCGGACGCTTAACCGACTGCGCCACCCAGGCGCCCCCAAAAAAAATTTTTTTTAAATGCACATCCTCCACCCCTATCTGAGACCTGCAGAATCTGAAATGCAGTCCTGGTGTTCCCCATGTTGTGAGAGCCACTGTCTCCGCACGTCCACTGCCTTTGGAGAGATTGTGCTGTGGGCCAGCAGATGTGGCCCAGTGTTAGTCACAATTATATAAAGGAAACCTGTTCCTAATGCATTTCATTGCCATTACAAATGCGGTTTTGCTGACCGGTCTTTCCCTATTCTTCTTTCCTCTTTGTGTCTCTACATGGCAGACGAGTTGGGTTTTATGTCAACACTTTCAAAAATGTTTCCAGCCTCGAGGCCAAGTTTCATAAGGAAATAGCGGTGGTAAGTAACGATTATTTTTCCTTATGGGACATAAAATAAGTGAACTTTTTTTTTTTTCTGAAAGCAAATGAAATGGCGTAGCATTGTCACTTACTTGCGAGTTTGTTTTCATAGCGTGTTATTACTCTCAGTGGTATTTCTCCAGTATTCCTCCAGGCCCTCAGGAATCCTGGCCGGTCTTCGTTCCTCTTCCGAAATGCTTTTTCTCCCTGTCACAGTCTCACAGTCTTGTTTTGTTTGGTTTTTGTTTCCAGTCAGCTTTAAAAGTTGGCATTTGGGGCGCCTGGGTGGCGCAGTCGGTTAAGCGTCCGACTTCAGCCAGGTCACGATCTCGCGGTCCGTGAGTTCGAGCCCCGCGTCAGGCTCTGGGCTGATGGCTCAGAGCCTGGAGCCTTGTTTCCGATTCTGTGTCTCCCTCTCTCTCTGCCCCTCCCCCGTTCATGCTCTGTCTCTCTCTGTCCCAAAAATAAATAAACATTGAAAAAAAAAATCCTTTAAAATAAAAGTTGGCGTTTAAAAGTGATACTTTTTGAGGCTGAGGAAAAATTGGTATCTGAGCATTCAGTCAGCAGTCCTGTCGTCAACTAATATTGTCTTAGTTCAGCAGGGTGGTCGTACGACTTTATCTCTAGCAGAGTCAGCAGAAACAATAAGGGTTTGTTTTCCATTCTGTACTCTGGTTGAGAAATGTATTTTGGTTTTTTAAAAGTTTATTTGTGTTTGTGGCCTTTCAGTTTTGACATAAGTTTGTTTTTTTTTTTTTAATTTTTATGTATTTAGTTTGAAAGAGAGAGAGAAAGAGCAGGGGAGGGGCAGAGAAAGAGGGAGACTCTCAAGCAGGTTCCACATTGTCAGCGCAAAGCCTGACGCCGGGCTTGAACTCATGAACCTCGAGATCATGACCTGAGCTGAAGCCGGACACTCAACCGACTGAGCCACCCAGGCGCCCCTTGATATGAGTTTTAGATTGTCCATTTGCAGAATTTAAAGGTATCCTGAGGCCATCCCTATCGTCGTTGAGGTTCTCAGTTTTTCAGTAAATGCTTCCTCCTCTCTTAGGGCAGTAGCCTGAATCGGCACCAGAATGACTTACAGCTAACAGACCAATGGTCTCCATCCCTTTAGCTTTGCCACAAATTGTACGAAGTGATGACGAAGCTGGGCGACCAGCACGCTGACAAGGCCTTCACCATTCAAGGAGCTCCCAGGTAGGCCGTGCTCTTGAGACCCAAGTTCATGCAATGCTTGTTGCAATTTCTGCAGTCTGCACCAGTCCATGCTATTTTAATCCTTTTAGAAAACTCTAACACTAAGGAGCCTTTCCACTGTCAGACTCTGTTCTGTGTTCACCTTAACCTTTAGCCTTTAAATTTACTCACTGTGGGCTTTGGTCATTGTCACCGTAGAATTGACTATCTGCCTGTCTCCATTTTCCACGGGACCTGTCGGCCAGGGTATACATTTTTAACATGTAATTTCTGGTTGTGCACCTGTTACTTTCTTTGGAGAAGAAAGGAATTCCTAAACTCCCAGCACTTAGTCCTTATGCTTATCGTCAGTGCTGGATCTTCAATGAATCCATTTTGGGAAGTAATTGACACCTCACCATCATCTTACCTCCTGACTTGACCTCGCAAACACTGCATTGTTTTGGTCCTGTTGCACGTTGATTCTGTGAGTCAGTCGGTCAAATACACCGATCCTTCTCAGGCATCATATGTTCAAGGAAGGCAGGCTCATGAGCCTTGGGCTGGAAATCAGAAGACCCAGCTTTCAGGTTTGTGATCCTGCAGTTAATAGGCTTTGCATTCCTTGAGTGAGTCCATTAATCCTTTGGGTGAAGATCTCATTTTTTTTTAATCAACAGCAAAAAAAAAGATGGTATTGAACTAAATGGCTTGTAAGGTAATATGCAGTCCTGACATTCTCTATTTGCAATTTCAACATCAATCATCATATAGAGTCCTACATATACCTTTATAAAAACACACACTCCTACCCATGTTAGTGTTTGGATTTCTCTATAGAGAACTAATTTTCTTAAATGATACTCTTTGTATTAGCCATCCTCATAATAGTCTCTGCTACAGCTGCTATCCCAAGTGAGCATTTAGGATCTCTTATCCTTCGAAGGAAAGGAACATTCCCTACAAGAACACATGAAAGGAATGGAAGGAAGCACTGTTTCCAATATAGTATCTCAGCATGAACTTGGAACAAAGAGGAAGTTTTAAGAGGAACGTCGCAATGACATTGGGTGTTTTGGCTGTAAAGCACGTGAAAAACTTAGGGGGTCCTCCCTCGTAGAGATGTGAAACAAACGTGTCTGAACACTTCAGTGTTGCTGAATCAGATAAAATGAAGACAGAGTGAGGCCATGGCCACTTACCAAATGTTCCTTTGGTTTTTTTCAACATTCCTCCACAGAAGGAGGTGGTGAGTGAGCTCAGTGGGCTCCCTGTTGAGTGTAGATTGGATCCGCGCTTCCCGACAGAGGACATGATTGCTGGCACGTAGTCTCAATCATGTGGCCCATCCGTGTTCCCTGCAGGACTCACTCCCTTGAATATGTAGATCATGCTGTGGTGTATGCGCTAGTTTATTTTGGGGTAGAGACGCTGTTCCCTCAATCTGTAGATGCTAGAAGGTCTTAGAGAGTAGGATGTGTCCCAAGTGCCCTCCTCCTGCTCATCACCTTTGAGCTGGTCCCATGCCTCTGGCCCAGTGCCAGGAATGCGGTGTGTTCTCAGGAAACATTGCTGACACTCTGCCTTCACGTAATTCGTTCGTGCCTGTCAAGGCGTCTGAGTTCAGTCATTGTTTTATAAGGTGTAGACAGGGGAACAAGTAATGAATTTGTTTCCAAATGTTATCAGAAAAGACTCTTATAAAATCCTACTCAGCACTATCCTGAGGATGCCTTTAACGTAAAATTTATCATTTTCAGGGTAGGTTTTTCTATCGATTATGACCTAGTAACATTCTGAAGGAAATTAGAAGTTGAAAGTGGCTCAGCTAGTTCAGCTTCTCTTTGGAAGATTCTTGCAGAGCCTGTTTGGCACAGTGGAGAGAACAAAGGGTTTGCATTCCCAAGGCCTGAGTTCAGAGCCAGCAAAATGCTGAGTGACTTCAGGGGTTTTTAACCTCTCTGTGCCCCGCTTTTTGTGGGGACAGCAAGGCCTGGGTATTGTGAGGTTAGAGATGATGTATTACGAATGGGGTCTGGCATCCAGTGGATAATAAATACTGTACATAACAGCCAGAATTAACCTAGAAGGGGGCTAGACGAGAGCCAAAACCTATTGTGCCTCAGGCTTCCTTTGGGCTGAAGGACCCCTGAAACGTAAGTGCTCTCATGTGTTTGTTCATCCAGCGATTCTGGTCCTCTCCGCATCGCAAAGACCCCATCGCCGCCAGAGGAGCCTTCGCCCATCCCGAGCCCAACAGCTAGTCCTAATCACACGCTGGCACCTGCGTCTCCTGCACCGGCAAGGCCTAGGTCACCTTCACAGGTAGGAAGAGGTCAAGTATATTGGGGCAAATGGAAGAACTCGGCATGAGGACCCCTGTCTGGGATAGTCCTGGGGTCCTGGGGCATCAAAAGGAGTTTCCAGTTGGGGAGACTTCAAGGCTGTCAGCATTGTGATGACCACTAAGGAATCAAGCTGTTTTTCCAGTTTGGAGCCCTACATCCTCACACACCCTACGTTTGAGTGTGTTGAGACCTCTCTCCACAACCTCAGCTTCCTTCCATGCCCTCCTCTCCTCCCACCTCTTGCTTTCAGAAGGCTCTGATCGGTCCTGCCTTCTGCTAGGACCTCCCTTCCTCCAGCACTTTCGGTTACCCTTGGGTCAAGTATGGCCAAGAAAGCCGTGATGTTTATACGCCATTTCACAGTTTGGGTACTACCCACAGTGTGTGGCGCACGAGCTCAACAAAAGCGTCTAGAAGAAATGATTGGGGGAAACCGGAAAGATTAGAAAAGGTAAATACAGAGAAACATGGCCGCCTTCGTCTTCCCCACTTCGGGTGAAGATGAAGTTCCTACAGGAAGATTCAAAGTCTCCAGTGTGGTGCAGGCTTTGAAAGTAAGGCAAGTCGTGAGAAGATCCAGGGAATTGTTCTGTCGAGTTCTTACTCCTGAAAACACTCACGTGGGGAGTGCAATGTGTGCTACCTATGGGCGGTCTCAGTGATTCCAGTGACAAACTTTCCTGATGTTAGTGTTCAAGTTCCAATTTATTGCTGAAATGAGAAATCCTTTTCAGTTGACTCCACGAAAGGTGTTGCCTTAGTTTTAACTTTAGAGGCATAGGCACCTGGCCCTGCGTGTAGCGCTTGTGTTGAGATGAATGGAGTGGCATTGCCGGAGTATTTCTCACGGGGCCCTTGCTTGTCGGTGCTCAGAGAGCCACCAAGGGAGATAGCATTCTCTGCTCAATCAGGTGTTCTTGTTTCTGTACACGTATCTAAATTTCAGTCAGTGACCAATACGTCCGCCCAGCACTGTTCCGTGGCATTTCTGCACATCTCGCGTGCTGTCTTTGGCTGAATTAGTTTGCTTGTGTTTCTGATGTTTTGTAGACCAGGAAAGGGCCTCCTGTCCCACCTCTGCCCAAAGTCACTCCAACAAAGGAACTTCAGCAGGAGAACATCATCAATTTCTTTGAGGACAACTTTGTTCCGGAAATCAGTGTGACGACACCTTCCCAGGTAAGTGCCTCGTATGGAGCTGCGATGTCCACAGAAGTTCCATGGCAGAGGGACCCTCAGGGACCAGCTTTAAAAGTGGCAGATGTTAGAGCCCGCAGTATCATTTCAGCTGTCATCAGGTTTGTTAATTACTTGGTATGTCTAAAGCATTCTCAAATGGGAGACGTACATACAATGTTTGGAAACACCGAAAAGTGTGAAATGACGAATTTTCATAATCCCCTAAATCATACCACTCTGACATAGCCACAAATGAATGCACTTTGGTTTATTTTCCTTCAGTCTATTTTTCTAGGTAAATACCGAATTTGTACCATAAAATTCAGATGGCATTGTTACGTATTCCTGACTTTTCTACTTCATCTGACTGAGCGTCTTTTTTTCATGTCATGTTACTGTTTTCTTTTTTCAAAAGAAGATGTTTAACCAGAGTATTCCATCTGAGGAATGGACCAGGTAGCTTTCAATTTTTCTGTTTCTTTACCAGCACTTCGGGGAACATCAGTATGTGTGAATTCATGTCTTTATGCCCTGTGTTAGTTCTTTTGTATTGCTTCCTAGTAGAGAATAGGAAAATACAATGGAAAGAGATGACTATTTTTAAGCCTTTTGACCTTCCTAGTTTGGCAAACAGAAGCATCCGCAATTGCCCTGGTCTCAAAGACCCCGGGGCACACCTGCCCCAGGTACAGCTACCTTCGTGGACTGCAAGTCTACCTCTGCTAGCGACTTGGTCATCCCATTGTCTCAAGAATGAAGATTCCTGACTTCCAGAGCTGTTCCTGATGCCATCAAAGCCATTTCTTTGTTTTAAGAGTGAAAGTCCCCAGAAAAATCGTGCCAGTATTAGTTGCTCCCAGCGTCCTCAGGGTCACAAATAATACCTACATTTTACAAGATGTGAGAATGCAGCCCTATAATTACTGAGTACATCAATAACAACACTGTGTACAACATCCCAATTATAATCACGTCCTGTTGACAATAACAGAAATAATGCACTAATAACAGAGAACTCAGAAAATAGCCACTCGGAAGCCCGTCGTAATTTGTCGTTGCTTTTAAGGGCATTCATCAATAAGGCACAATACTTTCAGCTAATAGTGTCCTTCTTCTGTTGTTTGTATGAGATGTGGGATTTGGTGCGCTAGCGAGGCCTTGAAATGTGATTTAGCAGCTCTTTTCGAGGAGGGAGAATTGCACGTGGATGAGTGCAGGGACAAGTGATGTCTGTGGATACCCAGATGCCCTCAGGGCTAGCTCTCTCGGAGCCAGCTGTTGGCCTGGCACCAAACGTGAGCAGTTTTCATTTCCACGTTATGCTGTCCATTTGTATTTGCTAACAGCTCAGCTCCCTTCTTTCTGGTGCTTCATCAGTTTTCAAATAGGGGGTGTTTCGGCCGATGATACCCTTATTCAGGTTGCTTTCCCCTCTGCCCTCCAAAAACCTGCCCTTGGTCCCCTCCACAGAGAATGTGGTCACCCAGAAGCCACATGTACTTAGCTGAAGGCCCTTCCATTTAGCACCTGAGGCAGCGAAAGTAGAGGCAACATGACACATAGACTAGTTCTGAAGCAAAGATGGGGTTCAAAAGTGTTCTTTCCTTTAAAATGTTTTTTTATTTGCAGTTTGCTGGCTCACATAAGGTTTCTTCATTGGTAGAAAAGAAAAGCATCACAGCACTTTTTACAATTGCAAATGCTAGACGGGGGCCCGGAGTGCTTCTAACAGCATTAACTCTCATGATGCTGTTGCATAGGAGTCATGGGAAGTCAGGAATCGGGGACAGAGGAAGAGGAAGCAGTTTTCTAAGCAGAACCAACCAACCAGGGGCCTGGCCCGGGCCCAGCCTGGCTGTCTTTGTGTAGCACTCCAAGGCTGTGGCAAGAGGAGGAAAGCACCCCTCCCCCCATACTGGCTACGTGTCCCCTCCATCAGTGTGCTCGGGGATTCTGAAAGAACTGACCGCCAGAGACATCATGGGGGTGCATTTGGGGGGATTCAGTTTCATTTATGTTGTTTTCTTTTAATCAAGAGGAGGCAGAAGGAGGTTTCTGTCGTTTTTTTCTGACTCTGTGGTAACGTGGCTCTTGTGGTGGACCACAGCATGTGACCAGAGCATTTCCGTTGATTAAATGGGTGTGAGTCTTATGTCACGATGTCAAGAGAAGGGAGTGAAGCAGGGTTTATGTTTCAGTCTGTTTCCTTGCTTATTGAGTGATAGAATCTAGCTTTATTTTGGGGCGCCTGGGTGGCTCAGTCCATTAAGCATCTGACTCTTGGTTCCAGCTCAGGTCACGATCTCGCGATTTGTGAGTTCGAGCCTCACATCAGGCTCTGCACTGTCAGCACAGAGCCTGCTTGGGAGTCTCTCTCTCTCTCTCTCTCTCTCTCTCTCTCTCTCTCTCTCTCAAGAAATAAATAAGCATTAAAAAAATTTTTTTTTCAACGTTTATTTATTTTTGGGACAGAGAGAGACAGAGCATGAACAGGGGAGGGGCAGAGAGAGAGGGAGACACAGAATCGGAAACAGGCTCCAGGCTCCGAGCCATCAGCCCAGAGCCCGACGCGGGGCTCGAACTCACGGACCGCGAGATCGTGACCTGGCTGAAGTCGGACGCTTAACCGACTGCGCCACCCAGGCGCCCCATAAATAAGCATTTTAAAAAGATACAATAAAATTATGCAAACGCTGCCTGTCCCTGAACCATCTTGACAGTCCCCTCGGTCGCTCGTTCCTCTTTTGATACCCACAGGGCCAGTGTGCGTTCTCTCACTCCTTTTGGGTCACATCCGGCCAGAGTTTCTGATTCAGCCGCTCTGGGGTGGGGGCCAAGAATCTGTATTCCTAACAAGCTCCCAAGTGATGCTGACAACTGCTGGTCATGGGATCACACCATGAGAACCACTGTTTTAGGCCAGGATTTCCTCGTGGCACAAATATATGGCCACGAACAAAGTACCACAGTGAATGAACAGATTTCTCCCAGGGAAATACCCAGCTGAGTCAAGTGTATATCATGTATGACCATGTATAACTGCTGCACTTAAAAATTGTGTGACTTGAGAGGTGCCTGGGTGGCTCAGTCAGTTAAGCATCCAGCTTCGGCTCAGGTCACGATGTAGCGGTTTGTGAGGGCGAGCCCCGCATTGGGCTCATTGCTGTCAGCATGGAGCCTGTTTCTGATCCTCTGTCCCCTCCCTCTTTCTGCCCCTCCCCATCTCTCTCTGTCCCTCCCCACCTCTCTGCCCCGCCCTGCTCGCACACGCTCTCTCCCTCTCTCAAAAATAAATAAACATTAAATTAAAAAATAGTATGACTTGAAATACTCCATATTTCGGGCAATTGGACTTACATGTACATACATGTGCATGTACATGTGTGCTTGTAATATTAGATGTGTTGATCAGAGTATATGTCAAGTTACATATTCTAAGGGAATGGACGGTCTCATCAGGGCTGTGATGTTTTTAGATAGGCACAGATAGATGATGAAAAAGAATCAACAGAAATGCCCGGAGAAAATGCAGTGCCAGCTGCATGGAAGCTAGAAAGCTGAGATGTATCTGAAAAGCTCTTCTCTCCCAGATACATGATATTTATGATCATATGGAGCGGTCCATTTCAGTTTTATTGTGATATTTTTTAAAAGTTTAATAAGTCAGTCTACATTGAACAGATAGGTTTATGTCCCCAGTTTACTATTTTTATCATGTACTTAGTGGGGAAGAAGAGTGTTTGTATTAATCCCACCCAGAAGCTCCAGGTGTGATGATTGAAATATTCCTCACCTCTGATGGATTTGTGCGTCTCGTACACCAAGCTTCACGGTGGCGACAGTCCCTCCTGAGTGCATCCGGGGATTGGAAACCAATCCATTAGGCCTAGAGAGCCCTCTAATGGCCCCAGACCTTAACTATATCATAGAATCTTCTCTGGGAAGTATCCCTACCTGCTTACAGGGAGAGGTCCTCATGTCAAGACCACAGGGCTGACCTTGCTTCTCTGGTTTTGTGATTACAAAAATGGAACTGCCAGCCCTCTTTATTTTTCCCTCCCAAGAACCTAAATTGAAAGAAATCTCTTATGGGGTGTGTGTGTGTGTGTGTGTGTGTGTGTGTGTGTGTTCCTGAATTATTCTTTAAAATTTTTTTTTAAGTTTATTCATTTTTGAGAGACAGAAACAGAGTGTGAGTGGATGAGGGGCAGAGAGAGAGGGAGACACAGAATCTGAAGTAGGCTCCAGGCTCTGAGCCGTCAGCCCAGAGCCCGACGCGGGGCTTGAACCCACGAACTGTGAGATTCTGACCTGAGCCGAAGTCGGAGGCTTAACAGACTGAGCCACCTGGGTGCCCCACATTATTCTTTCAAGACAGCATTTTCCATGCCATCCCATAAGATGCTGTGAAAAGGGGGTCCCTGGTCATCGGAGGCTGGGAGGGGCTGCACCCCCTTTTGTTTTACATAGTTTGTGTCAGCATGTCCAGGGCTCTGGGAAGTTGTGTAACAAAATCCCTTTTTGTTTAAATCAGAGTTTCTCAAATAATCTCCCTTTTCTCCCAAAGTACTACCTGTTCCAGGGACGTGGGCGTTTGGTGAAACATGTTTAAAAACGAAGATTTAAAAGATATTATATCCCTGGAAACCAAATTTATGGCCTATAAATAGGATTTTAACAGATCAAGCCCAAAAAAAGCAATCATGTATATTATATACACACACATATGTACACATGCAAGGTTGTTTCTTTTTTTTTTTCTTCAAAAAATGTTTTGAGAAAAGATGTTTCGGACTGCTTTCTCTTCTCACGATCGCGGTTCACCCTCCTCTCCCACCAGGGCTTTCCTGAGGGATCGTGGCTCTGGGCAAATATTTTCAGAGGGGGGCTTCTGTCCATATAACCAATTCGAGTCCCTTGAAATGAGCCTGTCCGCAGCATTCTGGTGGTCAGTCTGATGGGATTCCGTACGTGAAACGCCATGCTGCCCAGTGGAGGCA